AATTTATGTCGTGTGCTTCATCTTTTACTACAAACATTTATGGATGTGGCTATACATGCATGATAACATACATGAAGCTAAAAATCCAGATGCATACCAAAACCAAATTCTTGCTCAAGCCGAATTCCAATGAATACAAGACTCAGCATATTGGCAAGCATGTGGAAAACTCCAGCATGTAACCACATAAATGAGATCAGCTGCCATCCCTGGTGTCGATGAACCACTCTCTGCACGTCTAGAGCACCCATCTTTTCTAACCTTCAGGATGAAAACACATGAGAAACAAGTTAGATACTTAGATGTGCAGCTGAGACCTATTGACCCTTACGGGGCATGTCTATAGCTCTTATTTCCAAACAGATGATAGCTCCCTCGCCCTTGTAGTGCTACTTTTAGCAGTTATAGACTTTGGATGATACATACTGAAATGAGCACATTAAACAGCTTTAAAGAATGACAAACAAGTCCTTGAAGAACGCATACCCGCTCTTACCAGAGATATTAGGACAAACAATTTCATTTTTCCATAATCATTCTACCATTGACCTCACAGACCAAGGAAAGTCGAACGAAAATTTTGAAACTAAATCTCTAAAGGAACACTACTGTAAAACTTTAACCCTGTAACATATTACAGGGGACATTTTGGTTAACGTATCAATCTAGTCAAGCCAAGTAGTTCGCTACTTGCAACTCTTCAAGCACCCTTCTTCTTTGTTCAAGCATTTTCGATATGCCGACATCAAATACACATCAAGCATTGCCTGAATGTCACTAAATACATAAACCCTCATTACCCGTCAACCTCCTTTAAGTTTCTCAACTAGTCGTAGATTCGCTTCTATATTCACTAGGGTTCCCAAGTCCAACATTGATTAAAAGCAGAATTACATCAAGCTTCATGCAGTTCAACTATTTTCTTTACAAACATATGTAATATAACCAAAATTCTAAATCCATCATAAAATTTACCGAAAAAACGGTAAAAACATAACTTTCACAATTACTCTTACCTAAAAAAGTCTCAACCTTGATTGATCCCACTCTAATTTCACAACAAAACCAATCCAACTATCCAACCCTCCTCATCATAGTTTCACCAAAAACATACAAACGAGATCAACTTACATGAAACGGGTTCGCGGCCACTCCGGCAGTTCCCCACAATCCACAACTAAAATTTTCCAAATTTCCACACGTAAATACCCAATAAATCCCAAAACACAAATTCAATCGAAAACTCCAAATCCCAACGCATAAAAGAGTGAAAGCTTTACATGGTTTTCCTTGAAGGGCTGAAAGGAGAGGCGGCCGAGGAATCGACCAATGCAAGTGTCGGAGTTCTTGGGGCAATCGTTCACGACCATGGTCACCACAAAAACCACAATGTTGGCCACCACAATCGACGGCACCAGCCATGACACCCACCTCTTCAACGGGCTGTAGTCGCTGAACGACCGCCGCGGCGTCGTCGTCTCCGGAGGCTGTCCCGCCGGGTGCACAACTCAAAAACAACAATTGGTAAAATATAGGGACTTGGATTGTCTGCCCTCCTAGTTGTGGTGCCCTTCCATGCTCTCCTATTTTGTGCGGTCACGGTTAAGCCACGTCAATATTTTATATTTTTATTATTTTTTATCTTATTATCTTATTAAAAAATTAATATAAAATATTGACGTGGTTTAACCGTGACCGCACAAAATAGGAGGGCATGGAAGGGCACCATAACTAAGAGGGCAGACAATCCAAGTCCAAAATATAGAACCCAACGTACCAAATGAGATTTTAAATTTTAAATTTTAACTTATTATTTTGATTTTTTTTTTTTTGTATTTTAGTTGCAGAGGATGAGCAAACTGTTGTTTGGTTTTGGCCTGAGAAAGGGAAGCCACACGAATGCCCAGTCCAACTTTTCAACATAATACAACTGGGCAAGCGCATAATACACTCTGAATCGGAAGGAGAAGAAGAAACGGTTACAGTGTGTCAAAGTTTGTTACTTTTTGGTGGCCTAAGTTTTCAAATCATGTTCATATGCAATGCAATACTATTTTCTATTTGATACTGTGTGTGTAAACCATCAATTCTATGTTGTGGGGAGGGTCAAATATCTTTAAAGTTAGTGGATTTCTGATTATTCTTAATATTTAAAGTTGGTGGATTTCTGATTATTCTTAAGATACGTACATCAGATTCCTGTTCCGTCAGTTCCTAACATCCTCAAATATTACGTATGATAATGTATTAAAGTTTGGTGACGATCCAACGGTCTGATCGTCAATTCATATTTTGATCAAGTAATGTCTCATAGTGAAAATTAGGTTCAAACGATCAAATCACGTCATATGAATATTAAATACAAAATCAGGACATCTAATTGATCTTAGAAAGACATTGTTGGCCCACTGGCCACCCGCCACCATACGCACCTCCGAGAGTGGCGGTTTCAGCGAATTGAAACCCAATTTTTCGACTAACTCCAAAAATTACTAAATTTCACAAAAATGTAGATCTCAATGAGTAAAGTAAGTTTCATATCTGTGGCCAAATCCAATTTGGCTGGGAAAAGCCTCAAATTCACTCAAACCCGCCGGAAACCCTAAGATGGGTATTCTTCGATTATATTTCCTCGATGCTCCAACGCCCCTACAATTGATTGGGTCTTGTTCTTGGGTCCAAGGGGAGTTGATTCAGGATGCTGGTGGGTGGTGAAACTAGCCGGAATGGCCGAATCGCCGTCAAATCTCCATGGGTCACCCGCACGGGTTTACATGGTTTTGGACTTAAATATCCTCAAATTTGGGTGGAGATGAAAGATGGGAAATCACTGAGTGTTTTGCAGGTGTTGGATGGTGGTGATTCAACGAAAAAAATGGCAAAATTCTCCAGAATTAAACCAGCTTGATCGTGGTGCACGGGTCGACAAAATGGAGTGGGAATTCCCTTTCCTCATTGGCTGATGGCCTTCTTTTTTTTTTTCTTTTTTTTTCCCCATTCTGATTGGTCCCTCACTCTCTTATCTCCTTGGTCCCTTTCCCACAAGGTGGGAGTTTTAAAATAAATTTAAAATCTATAATTTAGTAACAACTTTAAATGTCCGTAACTATACCGTTAAAACCCGGACTCCCAAATAGCTTGCGCCTATGTGCTCGTGGTTTCGAGATCTATTTGAAAACATTACTTGTGACCTCGAAAGGTCAATGAATCTTAAAGATTAATTACGAAAATTCAAACCCGATAACTATTCGATTTAATTCCCAAAATTTACGGAATTAAAATTAAGTAATAAAAATAACGTAAACGTGAAATACGAATTTAAATTACGAGATACATAATGAATAGTGAAATTCCGGGGACGAGATTTCACATAGTGTCTCTTTCTTGGTCCAGTTTCATAAATAATGCCTAGTTATTGATCCACTTTCATAAATAGTGCCTAGTTATTGATCAACTTTCATAAATAATGTCTAGTTCTTGGTCATGGTTCATAAACATTGTCTAGTTCTTACTCCAGTTTCATAAATAGTATATAGTCCAGTTCATAAATAGTTTCCACTTATTGATTTAGTTTTTGAAATAATGCCTAATTCTTGTTTTCGTTCATAAATAAAGTCTACTTATTGGTCAAGTTTCAAAAATAATGTCTACTTATTAGTCTAGTTTCATGAATAGTGTCTACTTATTGGTCAAGTTTTATAAATAATGTCTACTTATTAGTCTAGTTTCATGAATAGTGTCTACTTATTGGTCAAGTTTTATAAATAGTATTTAATTCTTGGTTCAGTTTCATAAGTTTTGAAGCTTAGACCCTTTTTTGTTCCGCAAAAACACTCATTGCGCCAAAAAGGATGAACCCATAAGTGACCCTTTAGATCAAAACCTTGAAGGGTTTGAGAACTTTGAGTTTTAATGATAAGGACAAAATAAAGGGTAAAGTAAATAGTACTAGGATTGACTTTTTAGTGTAAAAATGTGGTTTTTCGTTAAAGTGAACAGTACCGGGTGCTTTTCGTTAAAGTTCCCTATTTAAAAAGCTATTTTCAATTACCAAATTAAAATTTTCTCACATTTTTTACATACCTACAATAATAAAAGTAGCTCTCCATCCAATTTCTTAAGCTTGGGTGTCATCTTAGAGAAATTTTTTCTTGCGCCCGTAACACAAATGATATACCATATGTTATTATGTAAGTAGTGAGAAATTTTATGTTTATGTTATTAATTTTTTAACACAAGAATCTCACATCTTGTATAGAGACACTTGGTGCAACATCCCGTGTTTCGAACATATTGAAAAATCTCTCATCATCATGACTACTATTAGGAAATAACACCACAAAATTAAAACTGGGGAATATAATTCAATTTGAAGTCTTTTTATTATTCTAAGCAAAAATAAAAAAATAAAAAAAATAAAAATGTATTAATGTAGCTGCAAGAAAAAAGTGAAGTGTGAAAAGGGGGGGGGGGTTGGGAGTGGGAGTGGGAGTGGGACGCCCATTGCAAGTTGGTTTTTCATTTTTCATTTTTATTTTTTATGCTTTTGTCGTTATTATTATATAAAGTTAGTAGGTAATTTTTTATTAAAATATAAAGATTTGAAGCTCGTTTCATTAGTCTTGCTATTTAAAAATTGTAACTATTACTGGTGAGATCAAATTTTCTTAATTTTTAAACTTCATGAAGGCTCAAGTATCTATCTAGCAAGAGAATTTCAAAACTATAGACGTATCCAATTATTAACATCTCCCATACCATATTTTGCCATTCAAACATCATAAAATATTATTAGCAAATTGAGAACAAAATAGTTGAATTATGCAAAATTAACAACAACAAAAAAAAGGGATATTGTGGAGAGGATGTGAATTACTTAAGTCTAAAGAAGGGGAGGAAATTGCATGAACAGTGTTTGTGAGGAATTTCAGTTTATTTACGGCCATGCCATCGGTGTAAAAAAAATAAAAAAAATTCGAAGGGACGCGTGTTGGTCATCGTGAAGAGGGAAGGAGAAGCTAAGCTTTGTCCAGTTACTTCTATTCACCGATCTCAGAAGGGGAGCCCCCTCTTCGCTCTCTCTCTCTCTCTCTCTCCTTCTCTACTGGAAAATCCATAATTTTTCATCTTCCTCTGCTTTTCCTTTCTCTCCGCTCCCCATATCTCTCTCCGTGGAGCCTACAAACCAAGTAGTGACGGTCGACAAGCTTCAAACATGGCGGATGCGTACTGGAGGTACAGCGACGGTTGACAACCGCCGCCGTCGTCGACGAATTCAGCCATCGAAAAAGCATCCTCCCTCTGATTACAGTATGTTGAATTCCTCAAATTTCCCTTTATTTGGGTTTTCTCTCTCCTTTTTGCCTTTGATTGGGGTTTGTAAAATGGGGTTCTTGGGGAATTTAGGGGAATTTATTGAATTAAATTAGAATAAACATGCTGGTGCTAATTCCCTCTTTGTTTGCTCTAATTCTTTATCAGCAAATAGAGAAAATCCTTTCATTTATTTGTTAAGACGATTCGGGACTAAGCGTTTTTTAATATTGTAGAAATCCATATCATACTAATTAGAAACATACTGATGCTATTTGATACGCACGCATCATATATATTATATATACCATTGCAGGAAGATGTTCAACGAATGGTGGATACTGGTTTGAAGGCATATAAATTTTCCATCTCATGGTCAAGACTTATCCCAAGTATGCATGTTCACCAAATTATAACTCAGATTAAACAAAACAAGTAGCTTTCACACTTAAACAATAATCGGTTTGTTTCTCTCAGACGGAAGAGGACCTGTCGATCCAAACGATGTAAGATATTACAACAATCTTATTGATGAACTGATCAGCCCAGGTTACAGTCTATCTAAATTATGTTTCTACGGTTCCCTGCTTATACTATTAAAGAAAGAAAATATCACTTAGTGTTAATAATTTAGTAACTATATTACTTATTATTAAGAATTTAGTAGCTATATTACTTATTATTAATAATTTAGTAGCTATAGTGATCTACAATTCTTTATGTTAATAATTAATTAAGTTGTTTGTTTCAACCAAGAATCGAACCACATGTTACTTTACACTACAGTTATCTCCCACAGGCACTTGACAATGAGTGTGGGGGATGGGTTAGTCGAAAAAATATGTTAGTTCCTAACATTTATGGGTGAGTTTTAAATGGGACATGCAGAAAATGGGATTTGCGATGATCATGATGAAACATTTTTGTGGATGTAGAAAAGACTTCACTGCATCTGTAGATACACGCTTAAAAATTTTTGAGGATAGAGTTTTGCATTGGACTACAATGAATGAGCCTAATGTTTTTATACTTGGAGGTTAAGATATTGGATTTCTTTCGCCACAGTGATGTTCAGCTCCATTTGGTGTCAACTGTTCTAGAGGTAACTCCTCAACCAAGCCGTACATGGCAGCTCATAATATCATGTTATCTCATGCATCAGCTGCTAGATTGTACAAGATAACGTACCAGGTAATTGTCAAACTTTCACTGTCAAGGGCTTCAAGAACTTTTATCTTTGTGATAATTAATTATATACAATCAACTTATTAGTCTTCTGTCCTTAAACACATAATACTCTTGATACAGTTGATGTCTCACAAATTAAGAAGAGAGAATTGAGAGAAGAAAAAAAAGGCAAATTAAGAGGGAAGAAGAATAACTTTACTGGTTTTGTGACTATCATCATTCTTTCATATTTTGTTTTTATGTGTTATGCACGGGCTTGCATGTATCTTTTTAATTTTGTACACACTCCGAATGGTGTTTTGACTTTAACGGTCTAACCCTACCACTAGAGGGAACTAGGGTATCACTCCCCTATGAAATTAAAAAAAAAATTCGCATGTCGATATTGTTGGGGCCACTGTCTTTACTGCATTATCTTTGTTGAAGGAATCTATACAAACACAAAAAGAAAAAGTGAGGAAAAGTGCAACATCGCCTTCTATCACTGGTTGGACTCCTAAATTGTCGATTAAATCCTCTAGTAAAAAATGATCTTCATGGCTAAATCAGTATTTAAACAAAGCGAGTGAATACTATAATCTCCAACCAAGATGCCAGCACATGGTTCCCTATGTTAATAGGTGTCACCGAGAGGAGGTAGTTCAGCATGTTAAATGGAAGCAAAGGAGAAAGATGAAGTAGCAAACCTATACGTTGAACAAACACCAAAAGAAGAAAACGAAAGATCATTCCATGGAGAATAACGAAAACCACAAATGCAAGAATATAAGCTCAGATCAATTTTTTTTGTTTTTATATAACAGATGCATCAACTAACAGAATTTTAATATAATAAGATTTAAAAAATGTGGGGTTTATGTAGAAAATGTAAGGTGTATGTTGAGAATGTGGGGTATGAGGTTATTATGGGAAAGTATGTGGTGTTTGTTAAGAAAATTTTTAGTTGAAAAAACAATGTGGGGTGTATTAAGGATGTGATGTTTATTCAACAAGATGTGGGGTGTAAATATAATAAGTCTAAAGAAAATTGTTTTCAATAAATGTTTTTAAGAAATGTTTTGCGAAATGATGGATTTTTTTTAATAGAATACCAAACAGACTCTTAGATTTCCTATGCATGGGGATGGAAACCCTTTTCGATCCTAGCTCCAATTTTGTGACCCTTGGTTGATGCCGTCGACTGCATGTAACGCCCTGCCACCGGCTAAAGTGAACGGAATCATTCCCGGAGTTGAGTACATTATTAGGTTCTTTGCTGATTTGGGCCTTGATGGCTAGCAGTGCCAACCCATCGTCTTCGTTCCAGGTTGCAAATGTGTGGAGCTCCCACAACAAACAAATATTGCATTGAAAAGTATGTATGTTAAGTTAAGATCAAATTGAAAAGTGTCGATCGAGTTGCTTCCGAGCACCATTTGAACGAAAGCGGGCAACGGCACTCAGGCAAAGGCTTTCCTTTTCAAATCCGCATATAATTCTTACAGAATTATTAAAAGCGGCTCAATATATCAAACTCATTTTGTAGAAACGTATGACTCACACTTTTAGTGAACTCATGATAGTGTAGCACTAGTGTTATAGGTATTAAACTCAGGCAACCGGATTCTTATATATATATATATATATATATATATGTATGTATGTATATTACACTCACTCAAACTATTGTAAAAGGCTTACTGTTCAATAAAGATAAGAAATTAACGGAAATCCATATTTGTTTTGTTATCCAATTGTTATCCAATAAATTGATGAATGTTATTCAGTTAAATGCTAAAATACTGACAATGTTAATTATATGGTTAAACGAATTTTTATTTAGTTGATTGTTTTTTTAAAGTTGATTGATGAACCAAAAAGTAGACATATCACATATGTCCTATCATCTTACAACATTGCAAAATTAGGGGGAGAGCCGAGAAGGTAGAGAGCAAATATCCGACCAAGAGGATCCGTCACATCCCACATTCAACAAACTTGGGTATGGTGAGTAAATTGCGCGTTTAAGTAGTTGGATATGGTGAATAAATTTCATAGTTTCGGAATGAGTTTCAAGTTTCAACTGTCATGAATAGTAGAAAAAGAGATACAAGGGCAGTAAAAGAATGAAAAGAATAATGACAATGATAACCATTGCTTGGTGAATACACAAGACTATTTTTACCCAACAAAAAACAAAAGAGAAAGAATACTTCCTATATGAATGAAGCATATCAATCAACATTCTATCAACTCTGAAATCTGTACATGTATGGTCAACTGCAAAGCTCAGCACATAGCTGCTGAGTCCGGGAGGGGCTGGGATCCGACAACGAATATGTTCCATTTCTACCGTTGCTTACGCACGTTAAGTTCAGCTGATTCCCTATCTGGCTCGACTGCAAGATTGGTGCATATATGCATATAAAGAACAATATGTCAGTACAAAATCAAATTATAGTACTAACAAAGTACATTGTAGAAGCAATTTCCTGACTCGGAATTTCGTGAGTCATTTCTTAAATTACACTTCTTTAAGGCATTAGATTAAACGGCATGCCAAACTAGAACGACTGAATGCAACCATGATCATATTAATAAGCAAGCACTTCTATCCATCAAATATTAAGGCGGAAGTTAATATGCACAAAAAAAGAAGTACAGCATATTACCAAACAATAAATATTTTGTGACTTGCAATTCCATTTTGACGTAGGGACACAGCTCAAATAATGACACCAGGAGCAGTGATTGTTTAGATTGACCCCTCGAAAAAGAGTAACCAGGCCAAGAGTATACCTGTCAAAAACATGACGACTGTTAGAAAATGCCTGCCACGCAGATACGAGGAAAATGAACTTTTATTTCCAATAACAAAACAACAAAGTACTGCCAACACATACAACCCAAAACAACAAAGTAGAAGCCGCTATCAAAAAAGTGACCAATTAGTACTACAGAGAGAATAGCGATAACACAATGCCTTCTCCAAACCATTCTGATTAGAAACAAGCATATACAAAGACTATTCGCAATGACAATAATGAAGACATATTACAGGACACATGATATCTACATATCTACACAAAGTCCAGTTCTCTGATTTGATAATAAAAAAATTGCACACGTCAACCATGGCTACCAGATTCTCATGCAGGGAATCAATTAGGTTCATGAAGTCAAACAATTAAATTTCAGAGATCGAGGGAAGCTTACCCAACAATCAATAGTATCAAAGAGAGGACCCACAATACATATTGATACGTCTTGTGTTTAGATTTAACTGGAGTACTAACACGTCCAGGGGGAGCATTACGTTGGGTAAGCCATTTAAACTGGGGGCGGATCAAAAACAAAAATCCAAGAAGAAATCCGGAGACAAATCCTCCAATATGAGCAAAGTTGTCCACATGTGGTAGAATTCCCACTGCTAAGTTTATTATGATGATGAAAAGGAGAGTAAGCAATGCTGCTAACTGCAGATAGAAATCTGAAACTGTAAGATCAAAGGGTCGTGCACATACTATAAAAAGAGGTGCATCATTGAGTATACAGAAACTTTATTTACCTTATTTACATACATTGTCCAATTTGATATGAGCTCTGAAAGCATGCTTCCTAGTAAACCAAAAAGTGCACCAGAAGCACCAACAGAAATACCATATTGAATAAAAAGAGCTGAAAGCAAACTCCCACCAAAACCAGACATGAGATATAGGAAACCAATTCGAACTGCAGAAGAACAAATAAAAAAAACATTAGAATTTCAAACCAAATAGTTAAAACAGTTCATCAAAACAACTGTTCATGATGTAGATCAGCATCAAACCTTTTTTTTTTTCAATCTTTTCAAATAGGCAGCATCTCAAAACATTTCAAAATGAGGCGCTATGTCTACATGTACAGGATATCCAAAACAATCCTTGTTCCCACAGATGTGATGTAAAACTAAAATAATCTCTCAGCTTCTATTTCAAGCAATTTTATTCTGTAAAATGGAATACTATGCCTAAAACTAAAGTTTGAACCCCATCTTCGGTGTATAAACTCCTCTTTGCTCACCACTGAATAAAACGCCCTCTTGTTTCCATAAAACCTAGCAACATACTGGTGTAAGTTATAATGCAACCAGCACCACATGACCACTATTCTAGGATTACAATTCAATAAACAAATGCATAGAAATCCTCTGTAGATTAATCACAAGGTAGCTAAAGCCACCCGGAAAGTGTTTCTCTTCTAGATTATGAGAGAAGTTTTGCTCTTGGTAACTAATTTATTATTCTACAATTTATGTCATGTGCTTTATCTTTTACTACAAACATTTATGGATGTGGCTATACATGCATGATAACATACATGAAACTAAAAATCCCGATGCATACCAAATCCAAATTCTTGCTCAAGCCGAATTCCAATGAATACAAGACTCAGCATATTGGCAAGCACATGGAAAACTCCAGCATGTAACCACATACAAGAGATCAGCCGCCATCCCTGGTGTTGATGAACCACTCTCTGCGCGTCCAGAGCACCCATCTTTTCCAATCTTCAGGATGAAAACACATGAGAAACAAGTTAGATATGCAACTGAGACCTATTGACCCTTAAGGGGCATGTCTATAGCTGTTATTTCCAAACAGATGACAGCTCCCCCGCCCTTGTAGTGCTACTTTTAGCAATTATAGACTTTGGATGATGCATACTGAAATGAGCACATTAAACAGCTCAATAGAATGACAAACAAGTCCTTGAAGAATGCATACCTGCTATTACCAGAGATATTAAGACAAAACAATTTCATTTGTCCATAATCATTCTACCATTGGCCTCACAGAGCAAGGAAAGTCGAACGAAAATTTTGAAACTAAGTCGCTAAAGAACACTGATGTAAAACTTTAATCATGTAACACATTACACTGTACATTTTGATTAACATAGCAATCTAATCAAACCAAGTAGTTCACTACATGCCACTCTTCGAGCACCTTTCTTCTTTGCTCAAGCATTATGCCGACATCAAATAAACATCAAGCATTGCCTGAATGTCACAAAATACCTAAAACCCTCATTACCCGTCAAGCTCCTCTTTCTCAACTAATCGTAGATTTGCTTCTATATTCACTTTCCCAAGTCCAACATTGATTAAAAGCAGAATTGCATCAAGCTTCATGTAGTTCAAATATTTTCTTTACAAATATATCTAATATAACCAAAATTCCAAATCCACCAAGCCACAAAATTTACCAAAAAAATTGTAAAAACATACCTTTCACAAAATGTCTCAACCTTGCTTGATCCCACTCTAATTTCACAAAAAAAAATAAAAAATAAACCCCAGTCCAACTATCCAACGCTCCTCATCATAATTTCACCAAAAATACACAAGCGAAAGCAAAACG